TTGCGTAAAAAATAAAAGAGGATTTGTCAGTACATTCATATTTGTTTTGTTTTTTTAGGGCATAGAGCTGTTTGGAGTTCTGGGAGGTTACATTGGACTATGGTTGGGAATTTCTTTAATAACGCTGTACGACTACATGGTTCCTGTATTTGCACGAGCATTTAAGAGCACATTTAGCTTATTTTGTAAAGACTAACTATGATACATATAGATACATCAATACACAATTTACAGAACTGCTTCTGATCTCTTATTATAAAATTTTTATTTCAATTATACTTTCTTTTTTCGACTGGTGGAAATTTTAGCATGTGTTATCACAACAGCCGAGTAAATCACTATTTTGTATCGAGACAGAATGGTTGACTGTTACAAATTCACACTTCTGTTGAAGTCAACAGAAACAGATTAATATTCTCAATCCTTAGACGTTAAACGTATGTGGACTTGGTAAGATAAGTATCTAATGTACGTTCATATACCTTTCTTTTAGCTGTTAAATAATGTTTGATAAGTGGTATATACCGCCACTTCAAGAAAAAAATACTATTTTTTTTATTTAAAGTGTCCCAAGCCTTTAACAATGCTTTTATTTAAGTTCATTGGTCATATTTCATGTCAAATCACACAGTTTAAAAAGAAATATATAAATGATATAGCAGTTGTAGAAAATTAAATGAAATTATAAAATATACTACTGAAAATCATTAGTTAAATCCAAGCGTATAAAATATAATTCCATATCCGAACGTGACATAAATATCGTGCAAATGAAATTATTATCGTTTAATGTTTATATATATTTTTATTTTTTGACCAAAATTCAACAAGTGGTAATAATTTTAAAATTAAAAGTAAAGTGTCTCGTTTGACAATCAATTTTAGTTCCTATATATTCTATTTATTCTATACATATAACATGACTTTATGTAAATTATACAAGTGTGTGTACATACACGAGGGTTAGAGTTTGTGAGAACTGTATTTAAACAGGTTTATAATATAACAAAAAAAATTTCTTTGAAAAACGCTACTGATTTTACGAGTGTTTTGATTGGTTAAAAATTACTGTTAGTATTTTTTTAATAAGTTTATCCATATTATTATTGATTTTGTTATATGTACTTATTTATTTTATATATACTTATTTTTCAATAGCTATTGAAGAAGATTTTAAAAATACAATTTTTTACTATTTTAGACGTTTATCATTGTTGTTTTGATCTTTGAACTGTACGTATTCTGTCATTGTTTACTAAGCCTAATAACGGATCCCGAGAAGTTTGATGCATGATGTTAACATGGAATTTATAGCTGCTTTTACTTAAACACTATATTAAAATATCATTTACGTTAAGTAAGGATGGCTTTTCGAGATTTATCTTATTGATGTAATTGCAAAAACAGACGTATATTCAATACTTTGTATTAACATTTGCACGATGGAATAATATATCGGATTTCTTATTTCTACACTATATGATAATAAGAATGCTAAATAGTAGTTTTTTAACGCTTTTATGTAATGTTATATATTTACTAGACTTAATGGTAAATATTTTACATATACCTATTTCAGTTACCAGGAAAAGAAAGTGTGATTTCTTCAATAACTAGATATGTATGGTTAACTATCTGATAGGTTAAGTTCTATTCAAATGTGTGTCGTCCTTACAGCGTCTTCGTTACATGCATTTTTAATGTATACATGCATTATCTTTTTCTTCATCTAAACATAAACCAAAAAATCTTTACACAAAAAATGCAATAGAAGCACTAAGTTTTTGCCTTGGTATCTATATTTAACATGAACTTTGAATAAAATCTAGTCAGGAAAGGAATATTTCGTTGTTTTTTTTCATGCATGAAAATCTTATATTGATTCACTTTATGTGTTTGTGAATCTGTTTGCTCACAAACTCCTACCATAGTTTTAGATCTAGATGGACCAGACTTGATATTCTGACTTGGAGTGGCCTGAGGGGTGTCCTTATATATATTGTTTAGGGTTCCAAGGGTGGCTAAAATGCACCTGGAAGTCACCCTGGCATGATGGGGGTCTAGGAGTATATTTTTAGTCACTGAACTTAAATCTGGTAATGGATTTTGTGTTCCTGGATCCTGAGGGTGGTAAGTTTGAAACTGTGTTCATACCCTTTTTCACACAGCCTCTCGGGCCAAACACTGGTCAAGATCAACAGGTCACGAGCTAGTGGGACTAAACATGTGCTCAGGGTCCATGGGCAGGTGTCGTAACAGGGTTTCTTTTCAGCTATGAACCACCTTGAAGTAGTTACAGAAGAAACTGAAGATAATACAGGAGTTTAATTGGTACATTAAGTCCTCTATGTATCATAAGGGGACATTTTTGGATAATCTTAAATCAGAAATACAAGTAGTAGTTGAACTGTTGAGATAGTTTATCTCATGTTGGACCTATGTATTGTACCAGAGTGTATGACAAGTTACATAAGTCACTTTACTGACAAAATATGACAAAGATAAAGGGTGTAGATTATATCACCCGGCTGTTAAATGTTTATTTTTTCAATTTGATAAAAACGTACATAAAGTGTGAAATCCAATATGTAATCCATATATTGCAAACATAATCACACCAACAAACAATTTTCTTCAACTAAAACTTAATGTTGAGACTTAATAAAAACTAATCAAATATTCCTCAAACTCCATAAAACAAATCAATAACATTTTATACCTATAAATATTTTATTTAAAACAAGAATTACCCCTCATGCAGCACGAAACTGGATTACAACTTTCTCCTACAATACTGCACTGAGAACACAATAAATAAAAAAATATTTGAAACTTTTTAATATTTGTTTTTCTGGAATGTAGATAACTAGGACCTACTGTTTACTGGAAAAATACAACACTGCTACATTTATCTCCAAAATAATTTACCAATGTCAAAGTTCAACTTCTAAATCTTAATTTTATTTTACAAAATAAAACCACACAAAAAGAATAAATTACTATAAAACTAATATTAAAGCTGTTAAAGAGTAATAGTGGTGTACAGTAATGATTTTCTGTCCCCACCTTCGTGTTTTTGTGAATGCATTCATTGGAGTTTGCTCCGTTCTGCATTACTCCAGGGATAAAAAAAATGTTTAAGCCTGAAGATCATGTTAGAGAATTCGGGAAGAACACACTCCATGTAAGTTGACGGAATTTCAACTGTTCTTAGATCATATTAAACAAATACTGTATAGTTGACCACATTAAAGGACAGTCATTTAAAAATCTTGGAAGGTAGAAAGGGGGGACATAATGACAGCTAACAACACTGGTGTACTGAAAAGGGGGACACACTGACAGCAAAGCAACACCTAACAGCAATGGTGTGGTGAAAGAGAAGACAGGTTGACAGCTAATAGCACTGGTGTGCTGAAAGAGGGGAACATTGACAGCTAATGGCAATGGTGTGCAGTAACATGAAAATAAAAATCACAGAAAAAAAAGAATATATATTAAAAAATAAAGATTTTTTCACAGGTTTCCATTATAAATTTTTTTTAAAATTTGACAGTATATTTCTAGATAACTTTTGGTGAAAAAGGCTAGGTACAGTTAAAAACTATACAATTTTTGACATATTTGTAAAAACATCTTTGGGAATACAACCAAACTACATTCATAGACACATTGTGCCTTTGGCATTCCCATGCCACATCAGTCAACAACAAAAAAAGATGTTCTGAAAGAAAACCCCTGGTGTTTACAATATAGTACAGGCTTATTTCAGGAATTTCTGAAATTTGAAGTTTTGGAAATCTAAAATATTTTTATTTCCAGAAAACAATGGCCCTAGAGGTAACAGAAATACTTTAACAGTTCAATGGTTTAATATATATATATATTCCAAGTAAACAACAGAAATATAATATCTGATGATTCAAAACTTTATTAAAATCACTTAAACTAAATCATCCCGAAGTGAAATGTCACTGGATTTTGATCAATAAAAATAAAATTCATTATATTTAACAAGGAAGGAATTAACATGGAAAAATAAAAATCCAACAAGAGCCCTCATGAAGCTATTCTAGTTATCAAAAATCTCTGGATATGATACACAAGAAAATCAAACCTTTTACACAATATATATGTCATGACAATAATTCTATAAAGTTCAACATTGCAACACACTAAAAGGTGCTCGATTTAAAAACTTTTTTTTTCTTTGGTCCAAACACTTTTATTTTACATATCAGTATTGCTCTATTTTACAGTTAAGTTTGTGTTAACAGATTGAAAATAACAAGAAAAACAACTGTAAACTCACTGGTTTTAAGGGTCAGTACATTTGACCAATACTGCAGATAATGAACATTCACTGTAAGACCAATCGTTTAAGTAAACCAGTCAAGTTGAAGATTTCAATGCTACATCATATAAAAACACTGGAATCTTCATTATTAAGTCACTTCAGATTATATGCATCCTGCTGACTAGCACACTTTTGAATACAAAACATACACATCAGTTTAAGATCTCCTGTACTTTCCTTCCTCAAGTCAAAAAAACAAAACTTGTTACAAAGGTGCTCCATTTCTGATATCAATGAAATTGGCTGAATATTAATTGATCATTACCCGTGGATCGAGCATGGGCAAGGACTTCAGCCTGTAACAGACTGGTACTGTTAGAACAATATAGATGTAGCATTTATTTATTGATACCATGAACGTGCAAGATATGCCAACGAGATCACTAATGCTCCATCTCGGTGTCTCGTTGAATGTATCACTCACGCCGCCTCTATCTGAAGTATTTTTGGCTATGTTAATGTCACACATGTGGTATTAAATAAATGTTCAGTAGTTGTTTTTAATATATAATAATTCTTCCTTTGATGCCTTATTTTAATTTTAATAGATTTTGTCGTGTTGGTAGGGTTATGTGTGCAGTCCGAAGATACCCATGTGTGACCTTGAAATAAGTACTGCAGTTAGCTAAGCTAATACTTGTAGCTTTTGGACTGCGTGTCTGGATTGAATTTTAACCCTAAGAATGTTTTGTCTTCATCCATGTGTTCAACCCGATTGGCCGTTAATTTTTAGTTTTGGTCTATGTAACGTAGCTTGCTCTAATTGTAAGTTAATATTAATTACTTGTATTCCACAAAACATAAAATTGAAAATATTTTATGTCAAAAGTAATTGAAAAATATTTTTTGCTCTTATATATAACTACCATATCAACCCAAAATGCAACAAAAAATACATATGGTCAAATATATCTTCTTAAAAAATATTTTTTGTTTCATTCAGCTGTAAAGTCCTTCAATAACACCACTGTACTTCGATAGTTTTAAGATCTCGTAATCACATGGTAGGCTAGGTTTTCATTTATAAAATTTGAAAACAATTACTAAATTTGCTATTTTTTTTCACAATTTTAGGTCAAACACTGCATAATTATCACCTGCTGATGAGATTGTTAAAAAGCTTGACAGCTCATGGATGAAATAAAAAATCGTATCACATGGTGAAACAAGCCTGTTAAATCTTGTCATGTATTTAATGAAAAACTAATTATAATAAAATAGCTAAATATAAACATTAATTATCTCAATTATTATGAATTGCTGTCTCATTCTGGCAGTTATGTTGACAAATTTGAGCCAGTATTATGAATCTAAAAATTCCTCATCACTATCAGAAGTTAAGGCTCGATAAAATCCCTTGTCTTCTCTCTCATTGTGTAATTCTCCAAAAAGTATCTTTGAATATGTGCGTCTCTGAAGAGTTGGAAGATAGCGCTGGGAAACGAAAAACAAAAAACTCCATGTTGCAGCAAAAATTGCTCCAACTTGGAACATTCGAACTGGTCCCACATAGTTGTACAAAAAACCACCAAAGAACGCTCCACTCGACTGGCCCACACACCCATGCAAAGCATAAAACAAGGTGGTTACGTGTCGGTCCATGCCTGGATTAGAAATCTGATCAATAAAAGAAAAAACTGCCCTCCACATTAATGCATTTGAAATTCCTTCCAAAAGATGCATAGATACAATACCTAATGGGGAAGGAATGAAAGATATCAAGAAAAACATTGTGCTGTAACTTAGAACTGTCAGAGAAAGACTTCCATTTACAGTTAGTTTCTTTATAATGTTTTTATAAAAAACATGGATAGGAATTTCTGAAGCTAGCCCCACAGCAACAGCTGCACTCAAAATATATTCATCAGCACCAAGGTCTTCCAGGTACCACAGACGATAGTCACGAAAGCAAGCAAACCAAAAGCCGCAAAATATAACAGTCACAATAGTCAGTACTGTCCGAACATCTCTAAATATGACTTTGAAACTTTTAAGAGATTTAGTTTGGTCATGAATAAACGATCCCTTTGTCTGAGGAACTGGAAACCAAAACAATATGCCAAAAGCAACTGCAAAAAGAAGTCCGAGAGCACAAGAATGAACGTAGAAGTGACTCAAGTTAAACATCGCATCTTCAAAAATGTAAACAGTAATTACTCCAAGGATAAAGACAGCAGAAGCACCAACTGCAGAAACACAAACATAGATACAAGTCTCCCCATACTTTTCTATGTAATCTATTTCATCCAAAAACTCAAACCACGAATCATCCGTTAGTCTGTCTACAGTATTAACCATCGTACTCCCCAATAAAAGCAAAGCCAAAATGAAACAAAATAGCAAAATATGTTCAACCCTACTATTGCCAGTATTTTGAGACAAATATCTTTCATGTCTGGTTATATTTTCTGTGGATAATCTCTCTCTACCAATTTTTTCTTTATTCTCAAAAGAATTTGCAACTAAACTTTCATTTTTTCGATGTCCACTTGCTGCTTTTGTTCGCAGATGGAAGAAACTAGTTGTATCAGTGTTTTCAGGTTTCAGCTTATTCTCTTGCCCATCTGAAGGTGATCTTCTCCAAAAATATCTTTTAGACTGGTTTTTAATTTCTTTTGAAAATGCTTGCATTCCTGGAAACCCTATACTATGATTACGATTAGACAATAACTGTAGATTTTTATTGAATGTTTTCTGATTACTATTTGGATGTTGTAAAATTAATTTATGTTGGGTATTTTGATTAGATTTTTCATTACCATACAAAGAAACTGAATTATTTTCACCAGTACTATTTGATTCAATCTGCAGTACAGTATAAACTGTTTCACTATCATTTATCTGAAGAGGATAGGTCACTATACTTAGAGGTAGCTGGGTAATATTGGCATTACCAACCTCACTAGTACTTTCACGCAAGATGGGCTTTAAGGATAATGTTACAGGTGAAAAAGTACTTGTAAGGTTTGACACTACAGATATAGACAAGGAAAGAAAACTGTGGTTTTTCTCAGCTGAATCTGTTAACATGTTAATGGATGGCTGTAAAATGTTTTCTTGTAAACTACCTGATTCTGGCAGAATAGCTTGTGAATGATTATATCCTTCCTTCAGACTATCATTAAAGTCGAACCGATTTATCCCAACATTTGTTACCAAATACGGAGCTAACATCAGTGATAAATAAGCAAGCACCGCTACAAATAAGGCACTTGTCATCAGCGGTCTTCGTTGACATTTGAGTTTTGCACAGTGAATTAAGGTAGCTACGAGGAATGTTCCTAGAAGTGATTCAATCCCACGTATAAGACCAGTTTCAGTCGAAGAAAAGCCCATGTGTCGAAATGACAACGTTAAAAATGGTACTAAACACATTTTACCAGCTATGTAGAAAGTAAAAAATGTAATAGCTACCACTCTTGAAGTATTCACATCATACTGCATGTTGATAATTTTGTTCTTCACCTAACTGTAAGGAACTAAACCAATGGACTAGCTGCTGACTAGACTGCTTCAGGACTAAACGCCCAACTGAAAAATTCTGAAATGAAAAATATGAAATTCTTAGCATATTCTATCTAAAATTACAAATCAGTTTAACTGATAATTAAAATTTATATTTACAACTGTACAAAAAAATTCCACTCTTATGTAAGTTGTTACTTAACAAAGATTGTGTCTTTAGGTATTGCACCTAAAAAAATATCAAATATGGCTTACCATCATAGTAACCAACACTTAATACTTTGTTAAATATTTTCAGACAACTACTCTCGCTAGCCCTCTTGAAAGTTTTTAAACTACACACTGCCAACTGGAGTAAAGTGCAGATTTCTTTGTAAATAAGATGATATCCCAAGGTTTTTAATATTTCATTGTCTGAGTACGAATTAAGCAACTGATAAGGTTTAAACTGAGCTAAGAAAATTGCTAACCTAACTGGTTTAGCAGTAGCCTTCCTAGTTGGATTTCACTTTAGTTTTATTATTGTGATATCCAAACTTTAAGTAATTGTTAATTCAATGATGTATTGTATCTACTATTTCATGGAACTGATAATTCATTACTTTTGAGCTGATGGACATAAAACATGTTACAAACTTGTACAGAAGGCTGTAGTAAATACACTTAAGTATGCGAACAGTAACTACTCCCGAGTATTTGTTAGCCTTATCACTTTAGTACTGGCCTACTGCCAAGACAGTCAGGAGTTTTGTTCACAGCTAATAAACATACCTTATAAAACAGTAAAGGTATTATTATTTAACCCTAAAATAAGTAGCGAGTTCTATGTGGACTCCCATTGGCTTATTATACACGTTTTTCTAAATTACATGTGCACCAAATTGCTTTTAAGTCCATGAATTTGTTTGCTACATTATCCTTACATTAACACACAAGTCCCACATAAATATTTAAAAAAAAAATCAATCCTGTAATTATTCCTATTTACTGCTGAGGTTTTGTGTGATTTTTTTGGGTTAGTTCTTTACACTGAGTGTCGTAACAAGTGAAAAGATACAATTACACAATACGATGCAATATGTGAACTCCACTGGCAATGAAAAGCACACAAGTTGGTTGGTAATGCGAGTATATATTTTGTTTTTATCTGCATTACAAGTAAAATTATTTGTAGAACAAGCAAAAGTTTTAGGTGTGTGTTACAACATAATAGAAATATTTTATTAGTTTTTAAAGCCTATAATCTTAAGCAATATAAAACATCATATCACACCAATTTGTATACACACTGCTAGGTTTTTCATACGAAGAGAAAGCTAATCTACTTTTTTCCTTCCTCTACAAGTACGATTGTTTCTCATTTTACTTAAAAAGCAGCAATTTACTGTTACAGACACTAGTTTAAAATGCTTTGAACTAAAACTGTTGATTTGAGAACAATAAAAATTAGTAGTTTAGCTTAAAACTGTTGATTTGAAAACAATAAAAATTAGTAATTTAGCTTAAACCTGTTGCTTTTCTTTCACCCAAAGAAAAAGACTCAGACTTTACCAAATCATTACCAATACATGGAATGAAATACAAAATACATTTATTAATAATAGATGAATACACTCGACATTTATATACAACCTGTGCATATTTTATTTCATTCTGCAAATATTTTTTAAAGATAAATGTATTTTTAATAAATATTCACATTTCACACCACATACAGCAAATTCCAACAGATTTATAACAAAACTAAAATATTACAAAATCCTTCTAATGTATACTTTGGCTTTTTTTTTTTTTAACATACATGTATATTACTTCTTTATCACATGATTCAGTAGCTGTTCAAGACCTTACAAACTATCTACTCATGATTTACATAACACGTTTTTGGACAACATGAGACCTATTGGTCCATCTCGACTGTTCCATCCTCTAAACTAAATTAAAATTATTTTTGAAAAAAATATTAAAGCCAGCCCTTATCATTCATAAACTTATCAAGCTTTTTTTTAAACTCACTTAAATTTACTGCCTCTACAACAACTGAAGGCAACTCATTCCAAAGGCCAAACACCCTGTTAGAAAAATAAAATTGTTTTAGCTGAAGATGACTCCTACCTTGCCAAAATGT